CCACCAACACGAGCCTTCTCGTATTTCCACCATTGACCCGCATCTCCCTTCAGTTGGAAGGATGCCAAGGTCACTTTCAGTGCTCCATCCTCGATGCCAAGCATCTCAAACGTCTTCGTTGTCTGTTCGAGCCATTCATCTGCCTTAAGCGGCTCTTTAGGATCCCCGATGAACTCGTCCGGATTACACCGAAAGAACTCCCTCTTCAAGAAGGAAGGCCCTGTCTCAGCTGCCTGATTCCCAGCTCTAAGAATACCCAGAGCTCCTCCCAAACTTTCACAAAATTACCAAACCAACCCCAACATCTCAAAATACCAAAATTTAAAGACAAAATCCATAGAGAGGAGTAGGATATCCCTACCTCAAATTCGGAGCTCCAAGGGAGAAGAAGACAAAACCCAACGTGCTCCAAATCTCGAAATTTTCAGATTAAAATGTAGCCCTCGACGATCAACAACTTTTTTGTAAAGGCCAAAGGTGAGCAAATCACTCCTACTAGATCAAAACCTAGAGAGAAGGTAGAGTCTAGAGTGAGAGGCTCAAAAATGGCGATTTTGGAAAAGTAGGAGAGAGAAGAGAAAGTGAAAAAGTGATTTGAAAAGTCAAAACTCGGAACTTAAACCCAGTCGCCCCGCTCGAGCGTCAGACACCCCGCTCGAGCGTCACTCACAGACTCCCGCTCGAGCGCCAACAATCCCGCTCGAGCGGCGGACGCACACTCCCAGAACTTTTTACAGAACCAGGTCTCCGCTCGAGCTCCCAACTCCCTGCTCGAGCGGCACTCACACAACCCCGCTCGAGCGGCCAACGCCACGCTCGAGCGTCCAATACTGCATAGGAAAATACTGGATGGGTGCAATTCCCGCTCGAGCGCCAAAACCTCCGCTCGAGCGTACAGGTCAAAATCTGGGCAGCTAGTTTTGGTTCTTAAACTCAACCAACCTGTAACAAACCTGCCCAACACATCCTATAACTCAAATACGAAGTAAAAAGGATGTAAACAAGATAATAGTCAACTACCCACATCCACGGACACATGTCCGGATCACTGTACAACAAGGGTAAATCCGGGATCGCTATAATCATTTTGTGCCTAAAAAGAAAATATTTTATCATTGAAGCAAAAGATGTGAATATTTTGTGCTTAAAATGAAACTATCTTCTTATTTCTTCCCTTTCTCTTAATTTTGTTTTCTATTTTATTTGTTTTATACCTTTAATAGTGTTATCTTTATTTCTTTTTTTCTTATTTCTTCCCTTTCTATCTTCTTATTTCTCCCCTTTCCCTTTTCCTTTCCCTTTCTTTGTTTTCTATTTTATATATTAAATAAGAATTAAAAACCTATCTTATTTAGTTTCTCCTTTCTTTATATATTTTTTCTTTATTTCTTCGTTTCTTTTTTCCTATTTTCTTTATATAAGTAGCAACTTATGGACAGTACATTATAAATGCACATGTATCCATGCAAAATAAGAATAAATAAATTTGAAAGACACATACAAATAATAGCAAGTTACAGGAAAACATATTACAATCATTCTACAAAAACAACATAATACAATAAATTCATTTTATACACTCATATATTTTAACTATTCAAAATTTTGATTAGTTTTGCATCGTATTTTTAAAAAATAATATATACCACATGACATGCATTTGTCATTCTCTTGCCGGAAGGAGCCATCTTTTCTTTTCCTTTAGACATTGGGTTGACATTTTCTTTATCTTTTGCCTAACAAATATAAATAAAATATTGAAAAGATTGTCAAAATCTTATATAAATAAAATACATATAATGTTTGACTTGATTTTGTACTTACCACACGAACACGGATAACATTAAGGTCGTGCTCATCACGGATGACCACACCAACATTTCTACATGGAGTTGTAGGAGGAGGCCTACAGAAATAGATTGTGAACAAATTAAAATCTATATAATAAAGTGGTAATAGTAAGAGTAAAAAATTCAAGATTGTCTTGGGTAAAAAATTCTTTTTATTTTTACCAATTTGGTGTTAAAGAAGGTTGTCTTGGGTTAATACATTCCTTCAATCTTTCTCTTTCTCTTTCTCGTTCTCGTCGCAGGCGTTGTCCCAATTGGTATGCAGAACATGGCTTTTGATTTTTTTCACGTTCTCGACGTGCACGTTGGGCCAATGCAGCTTTTGATAACACATTATCATTGTGTGCCTAAAATAAGAATATTATATAAGAAGGTGCATAAAATGTGAATATTAACTAACTTGCTTCCCTTTCATCATGTATTTTTTCTTCCTTTTAACTAAATTTTTCTCTTCACTCGGTTAAGTTGTTAGTCATATAAGAACCAATGCATCTATTTATGAAATTTAAAAAGGAAGGGAAAAATAATTTGAAAACACATTAAGCACACAAAACTGCAAACTCACTATGCACGCACTTATTGGTTTTAAGACACTACCCATCTCTTTACAAAATGTACGTTGAAAAAGTAAATATTAGATTATTGGGTACATAAAATGTGAATATTAGCGTGTAATGTCTTGTACTTTTCTTCTCTCTTCTTGTTGTATTCTGTTATATTAAAATACATTTTTGTCTTTTTCTTCTTTTCTTAAGAACTCTTATAAGAAAAAAAAAATTAAAAAAAAAAAATTATATTAATGTAGTTCCTTTTTCATCCATTATTTGTTCTTTCTTCTTATTTCCTTTTTCGTTTTCTTCTATTATATTTTTATTATGCTATTGTTGTAGAATGCAACATATTGTACAATGCAACATTAATTTTTTTTATCATACCCCAATAGACAAAAAAACCATATTTAAAAAAAATTTCCCAAATTTAAAATTGTTTTCATATAAAAATGCATTAAAGCCATTTGTTTATTCCTTTTTTCTCTTTCTG